TGATGGTAATTTGAGAATAATTCAATTGGATTGGATTGCTCTCCTCCTTAAAAATCTTCAAATTAAATGGCAAGATAAAAAGCGAAAGGAATTTGTAACATTATTTTATGATTTTTTATAAAAATATTTAAAAATATCAACCTTAACATAAAAACATGCTTCTGAAACTTCATTCACAGATTAAACAAAAGAATAATGTATTGGGTCTTGATCTGAATCCCATATAAATGTACTGGGTAATTTATTAAAAGGCAAAAAATACTGAAGTAGAACTCAATGCATTTTGCTCAGATAAAAATAAATTATATATCACAATTAATTCATATTGCTATTTTACTGATCTTAAGATGACCAGGCATTTAGGTTTCACTTTCTTCAAGGGCAAGGAAAACCCCTGCATGCTTCACTAAATAGAACTTTTGACAAATTTGATATAGTATTTGTCGATACGAATCTTTGTAAAAGGCTTGAATCACTATCTTTTGCAAGTGTTTTCATCTAGTGCTAAACTAATAGACTTCTCCATGACATTAATTTTATTTTGAATATAATATTTATATTCAATAGCTCTTAACTGAATCACACTGGTTATTGTCCTTAAAAATTCACTCTAATTTTAATTGTTTTACAAATTAGTTTCTTTTTCTAAAATAAAAAGAATAAGAAATATGATTTGTTTAGAACTATAGGCAACTTTCTCATCAAAGTATGACTCAATTATTTGGAATAATTTATAAAAACAAGCATTATCTGTAGTCAGTGATGTTTTAAGATGATAATGTCAATCTTTTATAAATAATGCATATATAAAGATTTTATTTTCTGCTCTAGGTCACAGATATTTTCAATGGGAATCCTAAATAACTGATGTTTTAAAAATTCAATTTAATCCCCAACCAAAGGATTTATAAACTATGACTGATAAATTAACAGAGATCAGTGAATATGAGTTATAGTTACTGAAATCAGATTTCTCAAGCAATTATCCCTCTTATGTTTTACTTTGATAATAAGTTCCAATAGGAACTATTAAACTATTAAATAGTAGGCTCCCTTTGCCTACAATTTGCTGAAACAGTAAAATGCCTTGGAATTCTAAGTCATATTAAGCCAAATTCCCCTGAAATAAATCTTGCAAGAAAAAATTTTGTCACCCATATAACATGCATTTATACTTACATAAAACGTAAATAAGCCTTTACTGAAGACAATTAAGTGCAGATTTCAAATTTCTAAAAAATTATCTTAATAAACAAATTTTACATTTTCAGATGAGTTGGTTTAATATTGCTCATGTGTCCATTAAAAAACAGTTATTGAGTGTCTGTTATATGCAAGACATTGTGCTTGTTTCTGAGGATGGAAAGATAACAGAGGTAGAATCCTCTGCATTTAAAGAACTCACCTACTCTGTGTGGCAAAGCGCAGAAATAAGCGAATGCAATAGAAAATGAGAAGTTCTGGGTTAGGAAGATATGCACTTGAAACACAAAGAAAGGTATAATTCATGCTGTTTGAGAGAAAACGTCCCATGGCAGATTTTTTCTGAGGATAAGTAGAAGGTTGACAGGTAGACAAGGCTGATATGGGATTTCAGGCAAAAAGAACAACATGGGCACTGGCTTAGAACTGTGATTATGAAGTTAAAGATGAGTCATTTTGTGTCACGGGAATACGGTACATTGATGACAGCAATAAGTGCTATACCTGGTAAGAGAGAAGGAAATAAAACAGGAAGGACTTTATATA